CAGGGGGACAAGAGTGCCAGCAGATGTTGTTTGAAGCAATTGCAGCTGGAGTCCTTAAAAACTGGATGAACCACCGATTTCAGGAACAGTAGCAATATGCAGAGCAGGTATGGTAGATTGCCAGGCATGCACCAGAGCAAGGCAAGAAGCTGGGATGGGAGACAGGAACAATGACATAGGAATAGCCGGGCTCATCAACGGGCAGACAGCGAGGTACCAAACCATAAGCAAGACAAAGTCAGGAGCAGAGCCAAGGTCAGGAATGAGTATCAAGCAGGAGAGGAAACAACAGTCAGGTCAGGAACAAGCTGGGTCAGCAACAGAGGAATCACACAGGAACAAGCAGGACACGGGGGACAGCTGAAGACCAGTCAGCACTAAGCACAGGCAGAGGCACCCTTTAAATAGTCCGTCTGGCACCAATCTTCGCCGCGCGTGTGCGCAATCGTGCATTTCTGTGCGCATGCACACGTCTGGTCACTCTTCTCCGGATATTTCCGTGCGCATGCGCATTTCTATTTACCAGCCGTCTCACAGGAATTCCCTTACACCAAGCCTTTTCTGACACTTTTTGTTATTGAAAAAAATTTTAACATACATGAGAAGAAGAACAAACATCAACATGAGAAGATTCACATTTGGGGAGAACATTGCTTAATGAAGGGAAAGGAAATGAGAGAGAAGAATAGAGGATCCCCACCATTTGGCCGGGGATCTAAGGGATTTCGTATTATGTACATGAGAGGTATACTCAATGTAATGTGAACCTTAATGGGTTGTTAGTAGCAGATGTGTAGTGAGATAAAGCAAAGTGGGGAGGAGGGGGGGGGGAAAGGGAAGCACCAATTCAGTGGGTGTGGAAGATGTTGGAGCAGTGTTTAGTAATCATCAATCATCGATCAACAACGTATTGAGCAATTAGGATTTTTTAACCATCGAAACCATTGGGTCTTAAATTTGTGGTAGGAGGAGTTGTGCAGGGCTGTTCTTCTTTCCATCTCACATTGGAGATTGAGCTCAGAAAAGAGGCGTGACAAAAGAGGAGTTGTAGTGGATCGCCATAGTTTGGTAATGTTAATTTTAGCGGCTGCTAGAATGTGTATAATGATAATGCGTGAGTTTGTAGGGTATTTATCAATCCCGATGTGAAGAAGGGCTAGTGCTGGGTTCGGGGATACTTGTGTTTCCGCAATTGAGGAGACTATCTGGAACACCTTGTTCCAATATGATTTGAGGGACTTACACATCCAGAGTAAGTGAAGTAGTGAGCCTGTCTCTTCACAGTGTCTCCAACATGCTTGCGAGAGCTGGGGGTAATAGAGGGATAGTTTGGTAGGGGTTAGGTACCACTGATGGAGAATTTTTAGATACATTTCCCAATGAGAGCTACATTGAGGCTACATTGAGGCTTTGAAAGTAATAGTGAATGTTTTTTCCCAGGTAAGTGGAGCTATTGGAAGAAGAAGGTGTTTTCCCCAGTTGGCTATTGAGGTGGTATTTGTGGTAAATAGTGTTCCAATTATAGTTGTGTAAAAATTTGAAATTCCTTTTTTTGGGTAAGTGGACATCTGGAAGAATTGGTGCGTAGATACCGGGACTTTTACCTCAGATGGTATGGGTTTTTTTTTGTAGTACATGGGCTATCCGCATGTATGTAAATTGTTCCATGTCTGGGAGATGGAAGTTCTTTTGGATAGTGGGAAATGAGTCAAGGTTATGATTAGTGTAGATGTCATGAATATGTAGTAAGCCAGCGGCTTTCCACCTTGTTAGGTTTAGTTGTGGGATGATGCGGTGTAGGGAGGACAGTGGGACAGGGGTTCGCACTGTATTTTGATTTAACTGATTATGATTTAAAAAGTCGAGCCAGACACACAAAGAGGCTTGTATGCAGGGGTGTTTATGTAGAGGTTTAGATTGCGCCACCTGTGGTATGAGTAGTATGTCAGTTATTTTGTGTGGTAGGAATAGGGATGTTTCCATAGTGGACCAGATCTTCTCAGCGGTAGGATGCCACCAAAAGAAAATCTGGTCCAACAGAACAGCTTGATAGTACAATTTCAGGTGTGGGAGTCCAGCTCCTCCCCTAGAGGGTGGATGTATGAGTAGGTTCGTAGTACATCTGGGTTTTTTTGAATTCCACATAAATTTGTTTAATATTGCTTGTAGTTTAGAGAAAAAGGAGGAGGGGACTGGGATAGGGAGTGTCCGAAAGATGTAAAGAATTTTGGGTAGTATGCACATTTTTAAGTGGCTATTCTGCCAAGTGTCGATAACGTAGTTGTGCGGAGGTATTTGAGCTCTTGTGGGATAATTTCAAGTAGAGGCTTAAAGTTATTGGTGTAAAGTTGGTTAGTAGAGGCAGAGAGTTTAATCCCCAGGTAGGGGACACTGTGCGTTTCCCAAGTGAACGGGAAACGCTGGGAGAGAACGTTTTGTGTTACTGTGGGTATATAGAGGTTCAATATAGACGATTTGGGTTCATTAAGCTTATAATAGGAGACTGCCGCGTATCTATGAATCTGTGTATGGATTGACTGAAGCAACTTGGATGGATTAGTAACCATTAGAATATTGTCATCTGCGAAGAGACTAATTTTATGTTCTTTCTGGAGGAGATTGATGCCTGTGAAATTTAAGTCTTTTCTAAGGTTGGAAGCTAGTGGTTCAATGAGTAGTGCGAAAATAATAGGGGATAGTGGGCAGCCCTGTCTGGTCCCGTTAGATATAGAAAAAGATTGTGACAGCGTGCCATTAGTTAAGACTTTAGCTGAGGGATTTGAATAGAGTGATAAAATTGCCGATAGCATCCAGTCTGTTATTCCAAATTTTTGGAGTGTAAGTGTCATAAATTGCCAATGTATTCTATCGAATGCTTTTTCCGCGTCTAACGACAGTAGGAGGGAGGGTTTCTTATTAGTTTCGAGATGGTGTAGAAGGGATATAATTCGTCTGGTAGCGTCTGGGGCTTGTCTACCCGGTATAAACCCCACCTGATCCGGGTGGATCAGTGTAGGTAAGTGAGGGAGGAGTCTCTGGGCGATTATTTTGGCGTATATTTTTATATCTGTATTGAGGAGTGAAATCGGTCTGTAATTCTGGACCAGTTGGGGATCTTTGCCCGGTTTTGGGATTGTAGTAATTATTGATTGGAGCATATCAGGGGGGAATTCCCCGCGAGAGGCAACAAGGTTGTATAGGGCAGCTAAATGTGGCGTTAGACTGGGTGCAAATGTTTTATAAAATTTGTTTGTAAAGCCGTCATTCCCTGGCGATTTGTGTAGGGGGAGATTTTTTATGGCTTTTTCAATTTCCATGGGAGAAATTGGCACAGAAATGGCTTCAAGTTGAGATTGGGTAATTTGGGGTAAATTAGTATTGGATAGAAAGTTTTCAATAGATACAATCGTTGGTTGGGTTGTATTTGGGTCGTCTTTAATATTGTATAGTGTTTGGTAATAAGATGCGAATGCGTTGGCTATATCCTGTGGGTTTATTAGTGGGGAACGCGTGATGGGGTGTTGGATTGTAAGAATTTTAGTTTTAAGTCATTTTTGTTTAATGATTTTAGATAGTAATGCGTTCGTTTTGTTCCCAAGTGCATAAAATTTGGCTTTCATTTTTTGGAGATTGATGTCATATTCGTGGAGTAAGATGGTGCGTAGTTTGTTTCTATCTGTGTTTAGAGCCGCAGATGTGGAAGGGTTTGGGTTTTTTTTGTTGATCTCTTCATTTAATTGAATGGAACTGAGTAGTTGGTCAATTTGTTGTGTGCGTTGCCTGTTAATGCGTGAGTTAAGTTGTATGAGGATACCTCTCCTGTAGGCTTTGTATGTTAACCAGAGCGTAGTAATAGAGATATATCAGGGGTAGAATTGGTTTCAAAGAAAAGATTATGGGCTTCTAGTAGGTGTTTCTGGTTCTCTGGATTTTTCAGGAGTGTAGAGTTCAGTCTCCATATAAGCGGGATTGCCGATCGTCGTTTGCTGTCTAAGGATATGTTGATTGGAGCGTGGTCAGACCAGGAGATAGTACCGATTTTGGACGACGTTACATGTTGTAGAGTCCACTTGTCAGTAATGAAAAAGTCGATTCTCGAGTACGAAAGGTGGGAAGGGGAGAAGTATGTATAGTCTCTTTCCGTGCCGTGCTGGCATCTCCAGATATCGTATAGATCGTGATCATGCAAAAAGCGATTGAGGTTTAATTTGGAGGATCTTTGGCTGGAGGAGGAGTCTAAAGAAGGGTTATTCAGGACATTAAAGTCGCCACTGATAATAAGTCTACCTTGTTTTCAACGTTCAACGATCTTGTATAGCTTGTGGTAGAAGCTCAGCTGTTTGCTGTTTGGTCCATAGATGTTCACTAAGGTGTAGGTTATGTCATTTATTTGGCACATCAGGATATGGTAGCGTCCTTGCGGATCAGCTGTATCCAAAATAATGTGGAATGGAATAGAGTCATTTATGGCAGTGATAACTCCGTTCTTTTTCTTAGCGTTTGTTGCGATAAATATTTGGGTGAAATGGTGGAGGTATAATTTGGGGATTTTGTCTGTGGCAAAATGTGATTCCTGTATAAAGATTACATCGGCTTGGGACTTCCGGGTTTCTTTGGCGAGCATCAATCTCTTAACCACTTGCCTACCAGGCACTTATACCCCCTTATTTACCAGGCCAATTTTCAGCTTTCAGCACTGCCGCACTTTGATTGACAATTGCGCGGTCATGCAACATTGTACCCATATATGAAATTGTGATCATTTTTTTCTCACAAATAGAGCTTTCTTTTGGTGGTATTTAATCGCCACTGGGCGCTTTACTATTATAAAATTTTTCAAACAGGTAATTTTTCTCCTTCACTGATGTGCGTTGATGAGGCAGCACTGATGGGCACTGATAGGCGGCACTGATAGACAGCACTAATGAGGTGTCACGGATAGGCGGCACTAATATGCAGCACTGATAGGCGGCACTGATAGGTGACACTGATGATGGGTACTGATAGACGGCACTGACTGGCATCACTGCTGGGCACTGACTGGCAGCACTGACTGGCACAACCGCTGGGCACTGACTGGTGGCACTGACTGGCAGCACTGCTGGGCTGCACTGGTGGGTGGCACTGGTGGGCAGCACTGGTGGGTGGGCACAGGTGGGTGGCACTGCTGGGCACAGGTAGGTGGCACTTCTGGGCACAGGTGTGTGACACTGCAGAGTGGCACAGGTGGGTGCACTGCTGGGCACAGGTGGGGTGATCTGCTGGGCACAGGTGGGCGGAGCTAGTGGGCGCACTGCTGGGCACAGGTGGGCGGAACTTGCAGGTGGCACTGCTGGGCACCGATCATCAGGGCACTGATCATCAGTGCCCTGATGATCAGTGCCGATCCCCGCTCTGACAACTGCCGGTTCTCGGCAGTACTTTCCTCACGATCTGACAGCGTGAGGAAAGTGCAGCCGAGAACCGGCACTTGCATTTCCCTCTGATCAGCGTGTCATTGGACACCGCTGATCAGGTGGTAAAAGGCCGCTGTGATTGGCCTTTTACCACATCACGTGATCAGCTGTGTCCGTAGGACACAGCGATCACGGAGATCGCCGGGTGCGCGCCCCCTGGGGCAGGCAGGAGAGCGCGTTCTGGGAGGACGTCATATGACGTCCACTCAGAACTGGCCGGCCGCAGTGCAGCCGTCATTCGGCTATCTGCGGTCGGCAACAAGTTAAATGGGGAGTTTAGGCCTCGTACATTTAGGGATGTGATATTAATCATTTGTACATGTTTTTCCCAGGTGTATGCTTAGTAGCATTGTTATTTGGGGGGATCGTGGTTTAGTAGGTGTCTTCTGGAGGGGGAAAGATATGACATTATCGTAGTGCGGGTTAGGCTCGATGGAGGATTTGGAGTGCGTTTTCCCTGGATGTGCAGGATTTCCAAATCTTAGGATGTAAGTAAGTAGCTGGCGGTCCTGGGGTAAGGGGGGGGGAGGAAACACAAAAAAGGATAAAAAAAAACTTGCAGACAATGCAAGTAGACCAAGTAGCTGCAACTGCTACTTGATAACTGGGGGTTTTGAACCGGCTTCGACCTCCGAAGGGGTCATGCCAACTGTAGAAACTTAGAACACGAGTCATCAGGTATGGCCTATCACCAGACGGTAGTATGCAAAAGGGTGGCCTCTAGGGAGAAGTATGGGTGTGTCAAAGCGTAAAGTGTGACATTATGGTGGTTATGTTGCCTCCATAGGTAAAATGGAGGCGGATGTCGTTTCCTGCGCATCCGTGGGTAGGATGTTCCATACTTTGAGTAAGTCCAGGCCAGCTTCCAGGGGTTTAATCTGGTATGCTATGCCATGATTTCTCAAAGCTTTGGTAATGGAAATCATTTTTTTCCTGTTGAGAAGTGTGGCTTTGGATAGGTCTGCGTACAGTCGGAGATTTGCATGTGATGGCGGGAGCGGAGGTGGATTCCTAGCAGCCGTCACAATTTTTTCTTTAATATGGTAGAAATGGATACGGGCCAATACATCTCTTGGAATAGATGCTGACAGAAATGAGGGTTTTGGTAGCCGGTGGGCTCGATCTATCGCCATCTCCAGATCAGGAAGTGATGGAATAAGAAGTTTGATATACTGCTGTATATAGGGCAATAGCGCCTCGCCGGTGACTGATTCAGGGATCCCTCTGAATTTGATGTTATTGCGACGCGAACGATCCTCCAGGTCAGCTAATTTTAAATTAATTTGTTTGATGTCAGATGAATGGTCCGCGTGAGCATCGATCAAATCATTATGTGCTGATATTACATCTCCCATATTAAGTTCGATGTGCCGTATTCTGCGTTCTTGTCTTTGTACCGCATTAGTAATTTGGTTTAGCGATACCGAGATGTCGTTATGTAAGGTTTGCCGCAATAGGGTCAGCATGTTTTTCATGGAGATTTCCGTCAGCGGCTGGTCTGACGCAGGGAAGGAATCTATGTCAGGCAATATTGTGCAAGTTGACTGAGGCGGGAAGTTTTGGGCCTGAAATGCGGGGTCAGGGTCATGGTCAAGTCGTGGCCGAGATTTGGCTTGGCTACTGGTCGTGGGGGCTAGTGGAGGTGACAACTCACCAGGGTCCCCTGGATAAAGTGGATGCCGCAGCCTGGTGTCTGCTTGCTGGGCCATGTAGTCCCCCTCATGTCTCCTGTCTTCTCCCTGGGTGCTGCAGTCGGCGCCATCTTGGATTCCTGGAATGAGCGCCGGGAAGAATTATGTAAGTTTCCCCGGCTGCTCCGGGGTTTTTCTCCTGCAGGGCATGATCAGAGAGGTGCAGGCACGCTCTGGCAATGTCACTGTGGGGTTGGTTACTCCCTGGGCCGGTGTGTGCCGCTCTGATGCTGGCGGGTGGACGGAGCTCTCACAGCTTAGCGTCCATCTGTGAGCCGGCCGCGCATGCGCCCCCCTTTTTTTACTTTTAATGCACAAAAGCACAATATATTGGCCAATTATTTGGTAAAATATAAAAGATGATGGTGTGCTGAGTAAATAGATACCAAACATGACATACTGTAAACTGCGTATGCCTTGTGCAATGGTGACAATTTGCATACATTTTTAATATCCATAGGCAACGCTTTAAAAGCCGTTACAAGCTACCATTTTAGATTTACATAGGTGGCCTAGTGCTAGAATTACTGCCCTTGATCTGATGTTTATGGCGATACCTCACATGCATGGTGCAACTGCTTTTTACACACTGGCACGGGGTCAACGCTTACTCACGCAGGTGTGTGCACGCATGGGGGAGGGCGAGGGTGGATTTTTTATTTTATTATTTTGATTCTATTAATTATTTTTACACTGTCCCTTTCATTTTTTGTTTTTATCACTTTTAATGCTATCACAGGGAATGCAAATATCCCCTATAACTTCAATGTCCATTGTTATATATTATTTTTTTGAGAAATCTGGGGTCTATCAGACTCTAGATATCTCCTCTGTCCTTACATTATCTAATCTCACCAAGATTGGTGTGATCAGATGCTTTCCCAATTTACAAATGGCGCTGTTTATATCCTACAAAACTGAAGTGATGAACTGCTCGTAGCTTCCGATTTCTTAGACTATAGAAATGATTGGCACCATTCCGTCAGCTCTCCAATCAGCTCTATTGTCAGCTGTCAGAAACACTGGCTGCATTCTCAGGTTCCCCGACGGCACGGGACTGTCCTGGAAGGCAGCGAGGGAGGGGGACATCTTCACCCGCTGCTTTTTAAAAACAATCCTACATCTAGGATTAGCTGCGTCAGTTTGTGTCGGAAATTACGTCACCACATTCCTCTCTCCGACCTATGCGTTACATCACTGTCACGTAACTTCATCAGGGTCCCTGATGAAATCACGTGACAGTGATGTAACGCGTAGGAATGTGGTAAAGTCATTTCCGACACAAACGGCCGCAGCCATATTGGTACACTCAGTACACCCATATCAGCACGTCATTGATGCCTTGTTTGATCTGTTCCCATATAAGTGCACATTTGTCTTTACAATAAATTTGATTCATTTACAATATTACACTATAGAAGTACTTTTTCTTGTCTTCCTGGGAGTGCTGTGAACTGGCTCTTTTTTCTGGTCCAACGAACCCCTGGCAGGAGTTCTGTGCGCTGGCTGATTTCTGTGTCCAAAAGGTGAAAGATATATTACCACCTCTGAACAGTACGGTCCACCAGTGAGGGGGATATCATCTCTACATCGCCGTTTGGGATTCCACTTAAAAGGCCCCTGCAGTGAGTGTCCTGAAAGCCTTTTGGCCCCTTGGGGTCTGGACGCGGAGGTGAGGAGGCATTTTAGGCGGTGTGGGACCCTATCCATGTTGGGCTTTTTTTGGATGCGTTTTTGTTGGACGTTTTTTTTGCACATGGACTTTTGTCACATTTCTGATATTTTTTTTTTTAGTCACGTTATTTATTTCTTCATTGTGTTATTGTATGTTAAGGTGCACAGTAATACATTCATTTGGTTTCACTGTGCATTTGTATTGCCATTTTCTGTTCTATACTAGTTGCACTCTATATATGTTTGCCACATTTATTTATGGTATTTATATGGGCACTTATTAATCGTTTTATGTCACATGGCATTTTGATGCACATTGTGTTATGACCCTTTAATTGCATGGTCACATTTTTTTGGCCTCACTGTGCATTGTTATTGTCATTCTTCTGTGATAAGTGGTTTGTCCACTTTTAATAATGAAGCACTTCATTTTGTATTTTTCCCATTTTGCTCCACTATCTCATCAGTTGTATTCACGTTATTTCATTTATGTTATGACGGACTCATATGTCCCACTATTACTATGATTTAGTTAATATTTTATTTTTCCCTGATCATTTCCGTGCGTTTTGCCCATGTTCACGGTTTATTGTCTGTTACACCTTTTGGTCCTCATTTTGGATCTTTATTATTTCACCTTTCCCTTCACTCCCATATTCCTTCCAAGTCCCACACTATCTTGCCAATACTCCCCATGTGGTCTGGGCATCCGGGGGACTCCACGTGACTATCTTTTCCCTCGTAAATCCAAAACTTATATGTATCGCCTGTTGCCCTCTCACAGGTCTTCTACATCTTGACCCCATATCTGGCATGCTTGCTGGGGAGAGATTCTTTGAATGCAAGGCAGCCAGAAAAATGAATGAGGGACTCATCAACGCAGATGTTTTGCTGGAGTGTATAGACATCTGCAAATTTTTGGTTAAGGTGATTTACGAGGGGCTGAATTTTGTGGAGCTTGTCAATTTCAGGGTCACCCCAAGGACGACAGAGTTTGTTGTCCTTGAAATGCATAAAATGCATTATACTCCCATATCTATGCCTGGCCATGGCAGCAGAGAACACGGGCATATGATGAATCAAGTCTGTGGACCAATACAACCACAATTCATTTTTTTTTAGTGATGCCCATGTTGAGGATTAGGCCCAAAATAATTTAAATTCGGAAACCATAATGGGTTTCCATGTGAATGCTCTGGCAAGGTTTGAATTTTGGTTGGTGGTGATAAACTGTTGTGCATATAAATTGCTTTGATTCACAATCAATGCATACAGATCTTCTGTGAAAACAGGGAGTAGTTAAATTTGCTGTTTCCATCTGAATTCCGGGTTGGGCAGTGAATGGGGGAAGTACGGGGTGCTGCAGAATTTGTGGGCTGCCAATTGGGATTTGCAAGCACATCCGAAAGGATACTAGGGGCTCTACAGGCCTGTGTGTGAATTCTTGGTGGCTACGGGACACTACTTGTGCTCGCCACCGCACACAACTTGTACTGCACTTATGGGACTCACCACATCACCAAGTGATACTGCAGTGCTGGTATGTGAAAGACCAGGATGTCCTAGGTCGCTGGTGCTCACCAGTTCACCAAAGGCTAGGGACAATAGTACTGGCACTCTGCTGCATATGAGAGTCATCATGCATTTGTAACATCTCAGCAACCTGAGAATGGGGTCAGGTATGCCTGATCTTAACAGGGACCTCTTCTCCATTGTCTG